AAAAAGAAAGAAAGAAAGAAATTCTGCTTTAATTGGGCCCAAGTCAGCAGCAAACCTGAACTAAAATCTCACCTCTTTCTGACTTGGGTGGACTGGATGGGAAATCCTTCCCGGGAATTTCCAAAGTCCCCTCACCTTCTTGATGCAGAGTAAGGGTAAAGAATTCATTGTATTTCCAGACTTTTCCCCCCCACCTGTCTCAGCCCTCCTTAAATAGGCACATTAAATTGAGACAGAAAAGACTGGTGTTGGTCACAGGAAATGGTCCATCCTTACAGGCTGCAGTTTGTAGCGTTAATTTCTTGAGAAAGAAAAATCAAGAAGAGAGCAAACGTGATCAGGAAACTATCCTCTGGGGTGCGTATTCCACTCCGGAGGGCCTGTTTATATCAGACCTCACCAATATTTCCTGTGTGAAGTGTTAATTTTCTTTGAATTGTAGAGGGCCAGAGAACTACCATTTCTCTTTAATCTCTAATAATTGCTACTTTCTATTTCTATCTGAAGTTTATTTTTAATATTTGTGCTACTGACAAATCAGAAGGTATGTATTTAAATCTAAGCTTTCATTAACTTATAGTTCAACTTTTATTTCCCCAGACTGTATCATTTCAACTCATTTAATTAACCTCACACACATTATTGTAAAGTGTTCAATTTCACAAATGAATAATATCTATCTTAACTAATATCATAAATGATTCAGATGGGACCGCTGACAATGATCATAACCATTTCCTCAGTAAAACAGGAAAGGATGATCAAAATGAATCACTGGACCCAAAAAATTTCATACTGAAACCATGAGAGTAATTCCTTGTGAAAAAGGGAGAGAAAAACAAAAACCAAAACCCAAACCCAGAACTCTTCCTTTCCCCCTTGCTTTCCACTTTGGAGCATGAAGAGCCGGTTCAGTTCCTCTAGTGAAGACCCCTTCTTCCTCTTCTCTTCGTCCTGTAATACCAGTGCAGTGGTTTAAGGACAAAGATTGCTATTTACTGAAGAGGAAGAAGGGAATTTTCCACACAATGCACCTGATTCACTTCTGTACCCCCAACGTACCAGAGTTCCTCTTTTGCTATTATTTCCTCTATCTGTTCTCAAAAAAGTTTCCGTTCTCATGGCCACCACCTTAATTAAGGTTTGTTTGGGTGTTTTTTAATACCGTGATATAACTGACATACGACATCATATTAGTTTCAGGTGTACAACGTAATGATTCGATATTTACGTATATTGTGAAATGATCACCACGGTAAGTCCAGTTAAGATCCGTCAGCATACCTCGTTACAAAACATTTTTTTCTTGTGAGGAGAACTTTTGAGCTTTATTCTCTTAGCAACTTTCAAACATGCAGTGCAGTGTTATTAACTATAGCTGCCATGCTGTACCTTCCAGCCCCATGACTTTTTTAATTTACAACTGGAAAGTTGTACCTTTAAGACCTAATCAAGGTCTTAAATGAGCTCGCACCTCTCATCCGCCTTCCCCCTGGCCATCTCCCACACTGTCACCAGGGCCACTCAGCCCTTCCTGTGCCCCCTTCTCAGCCCAAAACCATTCACAGCTTTCCTGGTGCTACACAGTAAAGTTCAAACTCCTTAAAACATTTGATTATGGAAAATTTCAAACACACTTGAAAGCATGTAGAAAACTAAAATAAACAACCACGGACCTATCCCTCAGCTTCAAACAACAAGTTTCTGCTATTCTTCTTTTCATATCCCCCACCCCCTCCAGCTCTGGCTTTTTATTGTTTTTTGTTTTGGTTTTTTGGCTGGAATATTTGAAAGGAAATTGCTTAAAGTTTATCATTTCTACTATAAATACTTCAGCGGTATCTCTAATCTAACAGATAAAACTTTAATACACACACACACACACACACACACACACACACACAC